GACTGCGTACGGTCGGTGAGGAAGGAGGAGAACCACTGCATAACAGTGCCTCCCACTCCTAACTCACCGAGACGCCGCAGCATGATACCGTGGTCCACGGTATCAAAAGCCGCTGAGAGGTCCAAAAGCACAAGGACAGAGGAATAACCCCTGTCCCGGGCCCTCCAGAGATCATTCACCAACGTGACCAATGCCGTTTGTCGCTTCCTGCAATTACATGACTCTGTTTTACAACAATTTTGCCATAAATCAGCACTTTTAGCATCAGAAATTTTGGCAAAACTGCGCCATAGCGAGCCAAGGGTTGTCTTGACGGCCTCCACATTTGCTTATCGGCCATTGCAAAAATAATAATAATAATAAGCCATAAAACATGACCAGCCTGTTTTTATGGCAGGCTCCATTATGGTCGTAACTTGAGGATTACCTGTATGGAGCCAGATACACACATATGACTGTACAGATAATCCTCGACTTACGACCACAGTTGACCCCCAAATTTATGTTCTTAGGCGAAACATTTGTTAAGTGAGTTTTGCCCCATTTTACAACCTTTCTTGCCACGCTTGTTAAGCGAATCACTGCAGTTGTTAAGTTAGTCACACCGTTGTTAAGTGAATCTGACTACCTGTGTAGGGCAGGAGAATATGTTTATCTGATCCAGCGGGTTAACATCTTAATTTGTGATATCAAAAGCCTTGGCTATGGCATCATCCTAAGTGTTTGTGTATGTGTTTGTGTGTGTGTGTGTTTAGGAGTGTCTTGTTTTCATACAAAAGCATTAACAATACTTAGTTGCTAAGGCAACACGTGCCAATTCAACTTAGGATCAAACTGATCTAAGTCCAGATTTCTAGTTGCAACTGTGTTTTCTTATGCAAGTTTCCCATTAATTCTGATTTGTTAACCTGCCTGCTTGTTAATGAATGAGGTAAATAGCTATCCCCTAACGGAATGGATTTATTAGCTGAATATAAAGGGACATGATAAATAGTGCTTTTGAGGTACTTTGATACTGTAGGAATAATCTCTTGGTTTAATACCATTCTTCCCATGGTGAAATATATGAATTAAGGGCTGAGAAACGAGTCAACTTTTATTGGTTTTAGATGATTGTGGATGGAATTCTATTCAAAGGATGATTATAACAATGCTCGCCTTTGTGTGAACATTACAGTAAAAATGTTGCCATCTAATATTCGGTTCCTAGCTATAGTAACTAAATGGTTTCTGGGTTATCAATTATTAAAATTCAATTTTAGAGTACAGCATTAGGGTACGCCAGTTGGTTCTGTGCAAGGGCAAAGGGGTTATTCCTCATTCTCTTATCTTAGAATAAAACTGTGAAACGTGGTACCGAATCTAAGATTGTTAAGTGGGTCAGATACGCCTGCACAATGAATGGGGCACCTGATAACATATTACTTGAGCAAAGTTAACACCTGTAATTCGGAAATGGTAAAATTGAATAGCAGCAAACCAGCTGCCTTCTCTCTTGTACAGTGTTCTGTTGGCTTAATTTTGCCCCACCTTTCCCAGGGAGGAATTAATTTATATTAAAAGTAGCTTTAATTTCCATGAATAATTTATGGAGCCGTTCCAAGTCAATCTACTGGTATATTGACTGGTATTTAGGGCAGATGAGAGAAATTACCAGCTCACACAATTTTCTCCTTTTCACGGATGACATTCATTACTGCAAGGCGGTTCAGGCATGGTATATAAGGTCTCTATAAAGCAGACATGTCAAACACAAGGCCGGATGTGGCCCGCGAAGTGGTTTCATGTGGCCCGTGAAGCCATCCTGGAAACAGTGAGGGAACGGCCTCCTCTGCCTTGGCCCTGGCCCAGGCCGGCCGGGAGCCAATGTACAATTTTGTGGTGGCCATCTATGCTGAAACGCATTTAATCTTAGCTCCATAAGCCCCCCCCCCCCGCATGGCCTGAGAGGAACAGTGAGGCTCCTCCAGTGGACCATGCCTTGGTGCTTGCCCCGGTCCCACCCCCTTCTGCCAGAGACCCTCAGATCTGTCCCACTCCTGCCCAGGACCCCCACAGGCACCCTTGACGTGAACGATGTAGAGCTGGCCACGCCCACCCATTAGGCCACACGCACTCCATCCACGCCCACCCAGTAGGCTGCACCCACCTTGGCCACACCCATTCGGCCCTCTGAGGGCAACCGCAATGCTGATTTGGCCCTCAATGAAATTGAGTTTGACACCCCTGCTATAAAGGGTTGGACTAGAAGACCTACAAGGCCCCTTCCAGTCCCCGTGATTCTGATTCTCTTTTGAGCATCATATGATGTCTGATGTCTGTGTGAGCCCTTTGTGATACTTTCCCCACAACTGTTGATCAGCAGATAAGCCAGCAGAAGGAACAAGACTGTCCCTCTGCTTTCTTCTCTCGTTTATAGACTTTGGGGGAGGTTTCTCCTTGGTTGTTTGGAAAAAGCTGGTGGTAAAATGAAACCAGACTTCAAGGGACACGGTGGCTGGATACCATCAAAACTGACATCAGCCGGAACATAGAAAAACTTGAGGAAGCAGTGCAAGATTGGAAGACGTGGCGAAACCTGGCCCATAGAATCGCCAAGAATGGGACACAACTGCGTGGAAAACATCATCATCATCATCATCTAGTTGGTTGTTTTACCTAGAGAAGATGGTGCTGGATTGGATGTCCTTTTGGCCGGATTTAGCAGCTCTTCTTCCTTTGAACTTCTAGGCAGCCTATAAAGATGCATGTTTTATTAGTTCTATTGACTGATTTCTAAAGCTGGACGTATGTGCTCAAACAGTAACGGTGTCTGAGTGAATGGTTTATTGCACCTGCGGTGCCTTTGAAAAAGAGGTTGAGACCCTAGAAAGAGTGCAGAGAAGAGCAGCAAAGACGATCAGGGGTTTGGAGGCTAAATCACAAGACGAACGATTGAGGCCCAACAAAGAGAAGGACCGGGGTTAGTATGATAGCAGTCTTCCAATATTTGAGGGTCTGTCACAGAGAAGAGGGGGGGTCAACCTATTCTCCAAAGCACCTGAAGGCAGGACAAGAAGTAACGGACGAAAACTTATCAAGGAGAGAACCAACCTAGAACTAAGGAGAAATTTCCTGACAATGAGAACAATCAATCAGTGGAACGGCTTGCCTCCGGAAGTTGTGGGTGCTCCATCACTGGAGGTTTTCAAGAAGAGACTGGTCAGCCATTTGTCTGGAATGATATGGGGTCTCCTGCTTAAGCAGAGGTTGGACTAGAAGACCCTCAAGCTCCCTTCAAACCCTACCATTCTATCTTCTATGAAATTATATCCTTCTAAAAATCAAGATGCCGTAGTAGCCTTTCTACGGTAATGCAGCTCATGGAACTGCTTGGAAGAGAACAATGTACAAGTTCCCTTGAGTCCATGTTGAAGCACTTGATGAGACTGACTTTCTTTTTTTTTATAAAAAGTTTTTTATTTATAATACAATTAAAACAAAAATGGACATACATGGCATTCCAGAGTAAATATTCCTAACAATTTGTTTCTCGTGATACAAAATCTTAAC